AAACTAAACCGAGATGGGCGTTCAAGGCTAATTAAGCTCTACAGATCTTAAGTCTGTAAGGGCTACTGCAACCCTGAACCCAAGCTGAACCGAGACGGGCGTTCAAGGCTAATTAAGCTCTAAAGATCTTAAGTCTGCAAGGGCTACTGCAACCCTGAACCCAAACTAAACCGAGACGGGCGTTTAAGGCAAAGGGCTTCGGGTGAAGCTCTAAAGATCTTAAGTCTGCAGCCAGCGTTACTGCAGCTCCACACAGTGGTTGTTTGCGATTCACGACCCTTATCCTAAATCTTAAATCGTGGGTGCAAATAACCGTAAACCCTAAACCCTAAATACGACATTCTGCAAGCCTCTGCTTCAGGAAGCGTATCGTCGAGACGTTTATCAGTGCTGCAACCGCAACAGACCAGGACTCCGGCAGGTTGGTTTAGGGTTTAGTGTTTAGGGTTTAGTTTTTAGGGATAAGGGTTTAGGGTTACATGCGTGCTGTAGCGAGCCCACGAGATGATTAGTTGCACAATTCATATGGAGAACAGGCGTAAAGTTCGTCTCCTCTATCGGGAATTTGTTGGGGTTTATGATGTCTGGGCCTCCTGCAGATGTATACAGTTCATGGCGCCTTCACTCAAACGATGTTTGTGCACATGGGGGGATAACTGCGCCTGTTTTGGCTTCTTCGTGCATGTGGGGGAGTGGTGGCAGAGGGGGGGATGATCTTCTGTGTTTCAAGATACACTATGAGGCTCTGGCTCTTAGGCGGGAAGTAGTAGATGTCACCCGAAACACGGTTTAACATAGGATTGAGAATCTACTGAAGCAACCCGACGCAGGAGCCTCGCCAGGCCGCAAGCACGACATAAGCGCGACCAGAGTGTCCAAAACTCCAGTCTGGAGCCTTTCCAAGCTGTAAACGCAAAAAGACATGCCTTCCCCTAAGGGTCCAAAGGACCCAGTAATAAGGTACTTTGGTTGCGGGTAGTGGTTATCTAGGTTATTACTTGGGAGAGTATATGATTATTAGGTACTGGGACCCTTAGGGTTCGGCAATTCCAAGACCAAGCCTGTTTCGTGTGGCAGGCGCGGTAGAATCGATGTAGACGTCTGTGTCGAAAGGTCCAGTTATCCCCTGTTGAGTTTGTTTGTAGTCTCGCAATCGCCACAAAGAAGGTTCTGGGCGTGAGTGTCCAAACTATGTAAGAGCTTGTACAAATGTCGAACCTTCGAACAGATTCACGGTAAACCCCACGCCATTTAAGCCTCGTGCGTACACCTGATCAAAACACACCCTTCCCGTATTGCTATACCCTAAAACCTTCAAGCTAGTATTAGGGAGACCCCTTAATAGTCCTACTTATGGCGCTCTGAAACGGGACTTTATGGAGAGGGTCTATATCCTCAAGGGTCCCCTAATCCTAACGCATAAACATTCATCCCCAGCCCTATGCCTCATCAGATCCCTTGCCCTTGTAAATCGCTTTCCTACAGTATCCATTGTAGCTCCTTCTTGCTACGCTTTTTTGGGTTTCCTTGTGGGAACCTAAATCTAAAATTCGCTAAACTGAAGAAGAAACTACAGTGGAGACCGCAGCTTGTTTCTGCTTTATGGTTTAGGGTTTAGGGTTTAGGGTTTGGGGTTTAGGGTTTAGGGTTTAGGGTTTAGGGTTTAGGGTTAGGGTTTCGGTAAGTCTTCCCCATGCAGGTACTTAGGACCCTTTGGGGAAAAGAACCCTAAACCCGGAAGACAGCCCCGTGAAGAGGATCTGAAGACGGCCGTCGAAGCACTCGATGCTGCCATCGACTCTACGGCAGCGATCGTTGGGGGGCTGTGCCTAAAGGGTCATACCCTACCCCCTTTTTCCGGTACCTAGATTTCTAAAGAACAGACTCAGATCCTAACCATATAAAGCCAGGTACCCTAAAAATGGGGTAGGGTACGGTGAATGATGAAATGCCTGCATTACCCCTTAGAAGGAGTATACCATAATTCCCATAGTTTAGGGTCCTGAAGGTAATGCAGGATTTAAATCATCAACAGTATGACGTCTCTTGGTCACGGCTTTCCCTGAGGGTTTAGGGTTTAGGCCTGGAGCGAGTCAGCTGTCCTGGCGTGATGTTGCAAGCCAGTTGCAAAATGGTTTAGGTGTGCTGCAGGGGTGTAAGATGTAACAGGGGTCGCAACAATTGTTCATCGTAGTCGTTCTATAATTCTGGTAGGAACTACCACCGAAACCTTAGCTGAAGTGTGAGTATTAAGGCCCCTACACTAGGGCCTCTGGTGCCTAAAACCTGAACCCTAAGCCCTAAGCCCTAAACTAGAGCTTCAGGGTTTCCTGTTTAAGGAATGAGACCAGGAAGGCATCCTCCGAAGCTCCTCATTACAATGGCTGTGCTTTGCCGTCCGGGGCTAGGTTTTAGGGTGGGAGAGGCCCTAAACCCTAAACCCTAAACCCTAAACATCAACAAAATTACTTCTGGACCGCATAAAAGACTGAACCGTTTAAAGCTCCAGCGAACCAGAATTTGGAGGGGAAGCCAAAAGACAAGGAATGAGAACAAGAAGACGAGGACAGAAATAACTAAAGCAATGAATAAAGAACGACAGAACGAAACAAATGCAGAACGAAAGAAACAATCCAGAGATAAAGAAACAAGACGAGAAAGACACAAAGAATGAAAGAACGAGAGAGAGAGAGAGAGAGATAAAGCAAGGAACAGAAAAGAACTAAACAAAGAACGAATAACTAAATGAAGAGCGACAGAGCAAAGACAACAATCAACGAAACGAAGAACGAAGGGGAAAAGAACAAAATAACGAAAAGCCACACAAAGACACAGCAAGGACGAAATAAAGGATAAAGGAACGAACAAATGAAATACGTAGACAAATAACTAATGAACGAGAGAAAGAAAGAGCGAACCACTAAAATAGATAGCCAACACGAACAACGAAATAATGGACGACGAGAAAACAATATTTGTATACACATATGTACATATATACATACTTACATATATATATACACACTCTGTATACATACATAGTTATATATATATATAGAGAGAGAGTACGTGTAGATGCATATATGTAAATGTAGCATATTCGGCATGTATATATACATATATATATANNTATATATATATATAATTATTTATATATATATATATATATGTACAGATACACGCATATCTATACATACTACATGTACGTGTAAATATCAGTATGCAAAGTAACAATGTATTAATATTAACACGTAGGTATACATAAATGCACATATGTATATATAGAGATTTATGTGTATATGTTGAATGTGCGCAGCTACATACACATGTACATAGAAATATAGATAGATAGATGGATAGATAGAACTATATATATATACACATGAAAAGCCTGCCCCTAAACCCTGAAGGCTTAAACTTAAAGCCCGAAATATTCTCAGAGACTTCATGGGCGACGCATTTTTTGCGCACAGACTCCGCCCGATCCCCGATCCACTGGTGTTGCCTGCCCAAAACCCCACACTCTATCTAGCTGCACGCACCTGCTTGCATGCATGCATGCATGGACGTATGTATGCATGTATGCATGTATGCATGTATACATGTATGCATGTATGCATGTATGTAATTGTGCATGCATGCATGCATGCATACATGTATGTATGT